AGGACCTCGTAGAGTACCCATAAACAAATCAATCAATTTGCGATCCAAGAGAGGAGGTTAGACCTTTGCATCCAGTTCACGCCACCTTTGAGCATACTCTTTGAACGATTATTCAGATTTCTGTATCATCCCTTGAAGTTTAGTACGGCTATGAGCCATGGCAGTATTATAATGATAATGTTTCAAAAAGATGTCAGCAAGTTCTCCCCATGTACTGGCATGAGTTCTTTCTTGTTGCATATACCAATCCAATGGTGCCGTGGTCAAGCTATCTTGGAAGAAGTGCATGAGTAACAGTTCATTTTCAGCACAGGCTGCCATCTTGAAACAATAGGAACAAAGATGAGTCTTTGGGAAGGAAGTGCCTTTGTATTTGTCAAAATCAGGAACCTTGAATTTAGGAGGAATAACTACCCCAGGCACGAGATACAATGCAACAGTATTGAATCCAAAAGCCTTGATACCCTCCATGGCTTTGAGACGCTCTTCTAGAGCATGGTGCATTTTTGCAATTTCAGCAACTCCAGCGGCAAGATTCACTTGGGGTTCATCAAGATCAATGACGTCGTGATAATCATCAACATCATTCCTAGGAGCTCCAGTAGGGGTCTCGAGATTTGCATTATCATTCCTCCCATTAGAAGAAGTGGAGGGAGCAGCAGTAGCAAGCTTGGAAACAATTTGATGTACCTCTTCTTGACCCTTGATAACAACATGAAGGGTTTCCATGAGCTGATCCATGAGAGTTCCCATGGTGTCCATATCTCAGCGGAGAGAATTCTAATTCTTTTAAAAAAGATCCATAAGTCTTCGCTGGTTGCTTCTTGTACGGTAGGGATGTGGAGAAGTCGTTTTTTCTGTTTACTGAAGTCTGTCGGAAAAGGGATCCCAATGAGTTTTTGTTAGGAAAAATGAATGCATGATAGTATGAATGAATGTTTCATCTTCATTTTTGAGAAAGCCCAAAGAGTCGTATATCTTTGAAAATTTTGTTTTCATTTTTGAAAAGCTCCACCAATGATACTTGTCTTTGGACTTCCTTAGATATGGGATATATATACATGATGATATGATGTCATGGTGTGTTATGGCATGAAGTTCCAGCTCCACACATTCTAAGTAACAGCTGTGTAGTCCTTTGCATAGGCTGAAAGTAACAGGACCAAAAGTATGACGTCACAGGCATGGAGTCAAAGTAACCACCCATAAGGTATGTACTAGGGGTTTATCACCTGCCGAACAAGGTTCTAAGGAAATCTCAGAGTCTACGCTCTTCCTTTGGATATTACCGACGTCCCAATTACTCAGTAATCAGTAATATTCGAAGGAAAAACTCGTCCTAGTGCAGCATCGCGTGACAAATACTTCCGGATTACTCTGTTATAGTCTCCGCGTTGCACCTAAAAAGGCCAGGAAGGGTTAATGGTTCTACGGTCCTCAAATTCTCGAGTTCCCAGATCAAAAGAAATGATTTCTTCCCAATTACTCGGTAAACATCACTACTTTCAAGGGGACCTCCACTGAGTTAGGGATTTTCATGCCTTCTTCTTCGGGATTACTCCCTCAAAGTTAACATGACTATATCGCCCGTCCTAATCCTAAATGTATCCCAAGTTCGGGTATATGACTTATCAAATGTAATCACCCGACCCAACATCACGGCGTATCCAGAATATGTGAGTAGCAGCAATATCTGCAATATATACAAAAGAATACAATAAAGCAATAAAGAAATAAAATAGTAAAGCAAAATAAATCAAATAAATAAAAACCCAAAAAGACAAATAAACAAAACTAGGAAAGACTCGACATGTCACATAACTATTTTGTCTGTTGATATCTTTCCTTCCTTCGGGATAAACAGAGTTCAGTGGCGACTCTGTGTTTTTTTGCGGCGTGACAAAAGGGTCTTGAGAGAGAAAGCAACTCAAACTATTCCAAAAGTAGATCTTTCTTGAACCATAGATCAACAAGCTCACATGTCTACCAAAGTTATTTCATCAGAGACATAAACATTATAATAAGACCCAACCTCAACATGCTCCAGGTAGGATGTCAAAGACATCTTATAAAATATCATACAAAAGATATATCCTCAATAACAACCATCAGAAGAAATTAGAGTATATATACATTACCTTCTCTATCATACCTAACTCGTCTTGCTTATCAAGAAGAAACCCAAAACACAATAAGGGAAAATCAAGCCTGATCAGCACGGGTCACACATTGGAGGCACGTGCAGAAGAAGAAAAACAAAACACAGTTCACAAGTAACACCACAACCACATTAATTGCTCCAAATAAAACTTTAATCCTTACTTGTCCAAAGTACCATAAAGTATCTTCTCCGGTCTCACCCATAATAGAACAGGATGCCTACTCTGATACCAATTGAAATTCTGGTATACAGGTAACAATATCCTAACACATGTTGAGACAAAGATCTTTGTGTAACAACACTTGGACATGATAAATCACACTGATGTAATACATATCAGAACAACGTCATGACATATGTTCTAACATCTTTATATGATATGTCAATCAATCAAGAAACAAAAACTAAATAATGCAGAATGATAATAACAAAAAGATATGATGACCCAGTTTAGTGCAAACTCACTTACTCTCAGGGCTACTAAGCCAAGAAGAAGATTCCATTATCAGTATTATTATTTTATGTAAACAACCTCAAGTTTACAAGTAAACAATCTTCGTTCTACCTAATCACTACCCAATGCAATCTTTATCTAAGAAACTCATCCAAGATAAGAGAAACTCATCTCGCTCCCTAAATCACCTCAGTGATATCTAACAGCCACAACCTCTGGTGACCGCATCAAACTACTAGAAAGACACCCTTTTCAAAGTAAAGTTCAGCCAAGACTCTTGACTAACTAACACACTTGAATTGGCTTCAAAGTTTCATCCAATAATAATATACAATTCATTACCCAAAGGCTTCTTAATCTTCATAAACAATTATGTCTACCACAATGTATTAAATCGATACAAAGGGTGACTTTAAACACAAGAAAGTACACGACTCTCAAAATACTAAACCCTTATAATTTTGAAGTGTTACACAAGGATTAGTTGAAACGCCCTACGTCCAAGTCTTCCTTTTATAATCTTCATTATGTCCATTAGCTTCGAATCATCGATTAAAATACTCCTCAATCCACTGCTAAAGCGCCCCTTAAATCTTGGAACAAATTTACTAAAGTACAACTATAGTTGTCCAAGATGTCGAGCTTTCATTGTAGGACATCTTTGTTCGACATGTTGTTCTTCATATATTTTAACATCTTGATCAGCATCCTGTTTTACCAAAATTAGTCAAATCTTTAGAGCTCAAATCTTTGGAGCTTTTAGCAAATTTACCAAGAGTTATTTTTCCTCTTGAGTAAATTACTCTTCCTTTGGAAATTATTGTTTAGGTTGGAGTTGAACCCTGTGCAAAAGCTCTTTTGAGGTTTATTATAAGTCTTTGCTTGGTTCGTGAGCTTCACAACTTGAAGAAAAGCTATCATTTTGAATTCGTGAAGAATAACTAATTAAAAATCTTCAGATCGATTCTTGAACTCGGCCCAATACAAAATCTTAGTTGGTTAGGGATTAGCCTTATATAAAATATCTTTTTGGTTTGTGGTCAGTCCTTATAAAATATTTGTTCAATTTTGTTGATAGCTAACTCAAAACTTCAACTTGTTTCTAGATAAGTCCATACAAAATCTTTGTTTGGCATGGAGACTAACAATTCAAAACTTTATTCGATGTTTGGCGTGAAGACTATCCACTTCATTCATTTGTTCGCTGTTTGGTTGGAAGTCAACCTGAAACTTCATTTTTCTTATGTAAGGGGGTTAGTTGGCTTAAACTTCTAAAATCTCTAAAGCATTATTGGATACTCTCACGATCAATTCTCGAGAAGAGGAGTAAGTCAACTCTTTAAGATTTCACTTTTTTATTTTTCAATTATTTTCTTTATCCTTAATTTTTATTGCATATCCAAGCATTTTCATTGAAATGTTTTCAAAGTCTGATTTACAAAATAATTTTGTTTTAAACTATTGTTTATTCAATCTCCATAACTCACCGTCTTTTGTGTATGGAGGCACATGTTCAACCTACCCCTAATCTTAACCCTAGAATTTAATGATATGAAAACTCAAAAATAAATCTACGATCTATGGAAAGAGATAGAAGCATCCATAACCACTTAAAAATTTCATACTAAACACTAGCCACCAAGTTAAAGGTCACAAATAAATGAGAGACCGACTCTTTATAGTTCCCACAAAAGTATAGAAAGTTCCCTCTTAATTGATAATAATATTCCGTTAGGGTATATGAATCATCTCATTTATAAAATCTTTAACTTTCACTTGTCTATGCAATGTGAAATTTCACACTCATGTGTATCTCAACATACTCCACATCACACCTCCCAACCTCACCCCTGCATATTTTATGTGCATCAACGTTTTAATTATATTTTTATTTATGTCTTTCTTCTTTATATTCTATGAACGTTTCTCTAAGTTTTAACTTATAGCCGAAGGAAAAAGTTAATAAAAAAATAATCTTGAGGCCTATTAACCGAACTTAACTAAACTTTTTAGTTCTGCAGCTGTACTCTTTCAAAAGTTTAGAGTGACCACTTGGATGACTCTCTATTGATATGCTTTTTTGACAAATAATACAAATAGTGTGGGGATTATATGGAATATATCTCACAATATCTACACAAGATAGCAAATAGACATAGGACGGATAACAACTCCGCTGCGTCATATTTCATAGCCTCCAATTTGTAACACTCTAATTAAATAAATTCATACAAGTTACTTTCTCAACCACCAAATAAAGCTTCTTTATTAACCCTCCTTCCCTTTCCATTATATATAGTTCAACTTTCTTACTAATTTTCTCATCCTTCACTACCACATTTTCCAATTGAATCAATTTGTCGAGTTTACTATTGATATAGAACAATGGATTCGAAAAACGCAATATTCGTCACACTAGGCCTCTTGGCTATGGTTGTTCTTATCTCCTCAGAGGTGTCAGCAAGAGACTTAAGTGAGACTTCCTCTAACACCAAAAAGGGTAAGCTATAATGTACATTATTTTTCTTAGTTTAGGAACAAAATATAGGTTTTTATGAGATTTTATAGGAATTGTTTTATAATCTTTTTTATTTAACTACTTAAATTTCATGTTATATACGTATGATTTTATTGTTAGATAGTTTTTTTTGTTAACTATAAAAACACGTGGATATTCCATAAAGAAAATTAATATACATTTACATTATATTGTATTTACAGAGGTAAATGATGTCGAAAATGGTAATGGAGAAGACGGTGATAATGGAAGTGAAGGTTACAACACTGGTTATCCCGATAATGATGGCAACAGTTCCAATGGTGATCATGGTGATGAATATACGGATAATGGTGATGATTTCCCTGAAAATGGTTGGGGTTATAACGGTGGTTACCCTGGTAATCGTTGGGGTTATAGGGGTTACCCTGAAAATGGTTGGGGTTATAATGGTGGTTACCCTGGAAATGATAGGAGCTACAATGGTGGTTTTCATCCTGGTAGTGGTGGTTATTTTGGTGGTCACCATGGTCATGATGGTGTTTATTTTGGTGGTTACGGTGACGGTTACTTGGGTCATGGTGGTTTTTATTATGGTGGCGGTTTTCCGAGTAATGGTGGTCACAATGGTGAAATTGTTGATGCGCAAACTAAAGACAAAACTCATAACTAATAACGACATTATCGTTTATAACGACATCATCGTAATAATAATTTCCAGAAATAAACAATGGTGTGTGTATATTTGGAAAGGTTTCAGTTGTTGTTGTTATTGTCTATCTTGTTACTATATAGTATTGTTATTTCAGTGGTGGAAACCGTGTGTAAATACATCATCACTATGTATATGTGATGGTGAGTTTAATTTTGAACAACTGTGGTGAAGTTGTTATACTGTGTAGTATATAAAAAAGATATAAAATAAAGTTTAATTAGTAATTTATCTCCTTTTTAATATGTATTCATATAGATGAAGTTGTCGGAATGTTTTTTATTAATAATCAAGTATTAAAATAATATTTCGCAAATAATCGGGTTTCGGAAAAAATTACGCAAATAATCATGTTTCGGATGACTCCCCAAAGGAGGAGCCATCTCACTTGGCGCCTCCACCTAGGGTTTTGCCCTAGGCGCCATCTCACTTGGCGCCTCCCTTGGCTTTTAGCCAAGTGAGATGGCGCATGCTCCTTAAAAGTGAGAGCAGGCGCCATCTCACTTGACTCCTAGGGCAAAACTAGGGCAAAATGCTGTTTTATAAATAATTCGTCCGTTTCTCTGAAATTTCTCACACTTTCTCGCACTGTATTTTTATTTTGTACTCTGTTATTTTCGTCATGACGTCGCCTATGATTTTTAGCAGAGATGGTTACGTTATCTTCTCCGCCACGAAACCTGCGATGAAAATGAAATTCTGGCACATTCACTCCATGGAGCGTCTGAAGCGGGAGTTGATTCGATGGCTAGATGGAGACATTGCTGAGGGGGGGGGGGGGGGGGGAAATTCGAAGGATCCAGCGAAAACGAACCACAACCTCACATGCGACAGGAAGACCTAATGTGTGGTTGGAGGAAGTCAAAACAGACAGCGATGTAATGTTGATGATGCATGGGTCAGATGAAATTGTGTTAACAGTTGTAATTTCGTAGATGGAATATCGTTAATTATTTTTTGTACGCGTTTTATTAATTGTAGCAAAATCTGTTAACGGAAAACCCAAATGTTTACAACACAATTATGAAAAGATTTTATGTATTACAATATTTATATGGTCGAGGCAGACGCCCGATTCAGACAGTTTTTGCGATTGTGTCCGACCTGACGGCATAAACCACACTTTCTTTCCAACCTGTCTAGATCGTCCATTTCTGTTGTGATGCGCCTACTTTTGGGACGACCCTTCTTGTTCCTTCGCATTTGGTCATTGTGCCACACTATTTCGCCGTTGTATGCAGGCCAATAATCTGGTTTTGCTACCAAAGGAAAGTTGTTGTTGTAAACGTTGAGCAACGTTTCAGATTTGTAAACGTTTGACAGAAGTTGCAGTGCGTCTTGATGGGTATGAGCACAAGCGGCAATGACATGAGAGCAAGGCATACGAAATGCTTGAAACCTGCCACAATCGCACCATTGAGAAGGTAAAATGACCCTATATTCTTGTCTTGCCAGGCCTTCATTATGGTCGATTGTCTCTTTCACAATGAAGTTGTGGCTGTGTCGGTCAAACCGTATAACCATGTGAGTGTTGGCTTTAGCACTTTCAGCCTTAATGTATTTAATGCAGCTTTCACTCCATAGTTGTCCAGATTGCAACACCGCATTCCACATTTCACCTCTTTTGGCAAATAACGCAGCCATCCTAAAATACGTAGATTTTACCAAGGCAGTGATTGGGAGGTTTCGTATGCCTTTGAATACCCCATTCATTGATTCAATAAGATTCGTTGTCATATGCCCCCATCTTTGGGCATTGTCGTATGACCTAGTCCATTTTTCCACCGGAATATTGTCGATCCCCCTACTGGCTTCCGGATTAGACAAATGGATCTCGTTGCGGTAATATTTGAATGTGGGTTGTGTCAATGCATATCCCGCATTCATAACCGCTTTCCTCAATGTTTTGTCCTTGACCTCCCTCGAGAAATTCTGGACGATATGCCTAACGCAATAGACATGCGTAGAAGGAGGGTCATGCCAACCATTTGCTGGATTATTGTAGGCACTTTCAATGGAGGCATGTCTGTCCGAGATCAAACAGAGATCTGGTTGAGGAGCCACGTGTGTCCGAAGATTTTTCAGGAAAAAGCTCCAAGCACCACCGGTCTCCCCCTCGACAAGGGCAAAGGCAATGGGGAAAATGTTGTTGTTGCCATCTTGTGCAACTGCCATCAATAGCGTGCCTTTGTACTTCCCATACAACCAAGTCCCATCAATTTGTAAAATTAGTTTGCATGATGCAAACCCTGTGATGCATGGTTGAAATACCCAAAACACGCGACTGAATATTTCGTTGCCATGCAGTAGACTACCATCTTGGGCGTACGCTGGCAATGTTTCCAGAACGTAAACACTACCTGGAGAATACGTCTTGAGTGCATTCAGGTAGCGTGGAAGTTCTCGGTATGACTCCTCCCAGTTTCCGTACACCCTTTCAATCACCTTAGTCTTTGCTAACCATGCCTTACGGTAAGACGGAGTGTAGTTAAAAACCATGGTAATGTGGGAGATGATTGTTTTCACCTTCAAAGATGGGTCGTTGCTGACCAGGGGTAGGATTTCTTGACAGATTAGATCATAGTTGAGTTTTCGGTGGTCCTGTGATTGAGTGGAACTTACACAAGTGTGGGTATTCATGGAACCTATGACCCAGCAGTCACCCCTTAATCTGTATGATGCGGTCAGCTTGAACATACAGTCAGGGTGGACACACTTGATCTTGTACCTTTCCGGGTTGACACGATCCACCTTAAAATCAACCGAGTTGAGCATGTGAAATTTTTTAATGGCCCTGATGCATTCCTCTCTGTTACGAAACTTGTCCTTCTCTTTTAAATTTTCATCCGACTACATATACGGATTGAAAAATAAGTCAGTAGAAGGTTCATCTCCGCCCATGTTGAAGTTTGTCATGTGCGGAGGTGGTGTGTAGATTTTGTCTGTAGGAATACTAGGGATGCCATCATCGTCGGAATCATCGTTCACCATTTCATCAAACTCTAACTCGTTATCTTCTTCTTCATCATCAACTGCATCTACCTCATCTTGTTCATTCTCCAAAGGATCAACCTCATGTGTCACCTGAGGCTCTTGTAGCAAAACGTACAACTCAATAGAGTCGTATCTAGAATACACATGGCTGAAAATCTTATTCTGGAGATCCTCGTCATCTTAAACTTCAACCTTATAAAAAATTACTTGGTTGTTTCCAAAGAAAACTAGATTCTGATAAAATATCTGGGACACCGGGCCTCGTTCAAGTTTGGCCTCCAATCTTTTTTTGAAGTACGAGAAATTGGCTTTCCCGTTTAAGAGAAATTGAATGTTGTCTGTGTCTCTAAACAAAAACCCAGCTGTGGGACAAATGTATGTCTCACCGTTGAAATGTGCTTTGACGACAAATTGTGGTGAAGAGGCCATTGCGTAGAATTGTTTTAAGGTTTGAAGGTTGGAATGTTTGAGGTTTATTGATTGTATGAAGGTTTGAATGCTGTAATGTTTGAAGGTTGGAATGTTTGAATTTTATGAGTGATTCGAAGGTTGGAATGTTTGATTGTTTGCAGGTTTGAAGGTTTGGTTGTAAGAACGTTTGAAGGTTGGAAGATTTCACAGATTATGTGAATCAATGTTATGATAAACGTAAGGCTAAAAATTTCAATTAAGTAAGGATGCAACCCCCCAAGGCTGCCAATAATATTACATGAAATAATGAAAGGAATCCCAAAGGCTATCACGTAGCCTGAGCCTAGGCTGCAACAAAGGACACCTCTTATTCTCCAATTGGGGTGGCGACACCATTCATTTTTGTACTCTTTCGCCAAGTCCAATGGCGCCTCCCTTACTGTCCAATCGTGATACATGCATGGGCTTATGTAACCCCCTAGGCTGTCACCTAGTCTGCCCCTAGTCTGCACCTATACATGTATTTTGTAAGACTCCTCCCATCAACTCCAATGGGCTTACATGCAATAATGAAAGGAATCCCAAATATTGTCACGTAGCCTGAGCCTAGATTGTAACAAAGGACACCTCTTATTCGCCAATTGGGGTGGCAACACCATTCATTTTTGTACTCTTTCGCCAAGTCCAATGGCGCCTCCCTTACTGTCCAATCGTGATACATGCATGGGCTTATGTAACCCCTTAGGCTGCCACCTAGCCTGCCCCTAGTCTGCACCTATACATGTATTTTGTAAGACTCCTCCCATCAACTCCAATGGGCTTACATGCAATAATGAAAGGAATCCCAAATGTTGTCACGTAGCCTGAGCCTAGGTTGTAACAAAGGACACCTCTTATTCGCCAATTGGGGTGGCGACACCATTCATTTTTGTACTCTTTCGCCAAGTCCAATGGCGCCTCCCTTACTGTCCAATCGTGATACATGCATGGGCTGCCACCTAGCCTGCAAGAGTGACACCTTTCATTTTTTGTACATGCATGCATGCATATGTGTAACCCCCTAAGCATGCAAATGTGACACTTCGCAGGCATGCAAGCACAAGCAACCATTATATCAAACTTATTTGCCTATAAATACATACCATATCATACATCTCTCACACCCACACAAGTCTCACTCTCTGCTACGAAATATTTCATAAGTCTATCATACTCTCTATCTCTTCCTAAGTCTTTCATACTCTCAAGCATTTTAAACAATGGCTCTTCTAACAATGGGCGATACTCACAGAGGTACAAGGGAAAACATTGCCGCATTTGTAAGTTTCTTTTTTGGTTATACATTTTTCATACTTCAAATAACGCGTTATTCATCTTAATTAATCTTACACATGTTACATTATGAACTCAGGACACAAAAAGATTCAGAATCTGTTCGCACAACTACCTGGCTCCCAACCCATTTATCGTCCTATATCTAGAATACGCAGGTTTTGGACATGTCATAAAGATCTCCAACTGCACCATTGACTCGAAGTTCATTCTTGCAATGTTGG